AAACCTTCAACCCAAATTCCCAAAAACTCCACCTACTCATGGTGCTCATAGGGACCATGAGCACTATTCCTAACTCCTACTTCCCCTTTTCTATTTTCTTTGACGTAAGAGTTGGAGCAAAGGGGTGGCATAGAAACCCTGGCAATAAAGATACGCTACTTCCATACTCTTGGAAGACTTTTTTTCATACCCTTTTCTTTTTTTCTTCCCCTAAACTTTGGTGTGTATCCTTTGGATCGGCATGTAATGAAATATTGGACTCATGGAATTGTTTAAGTTCAAGTTTACTTAATTTGTTACAATGCAATAGAATCGAAAATCTTCTAGATATTAAAAGATTTTTCGATGCGACGATTAAAAGGTACATCTTTTGAAATCATCCCTCTTTAACCTATGAATTTAGATACATCTTATCCTAAAAAGCATAGTCAAACTCTATACTCGCAGTATTGATATTTTTGTCATTCTATATAATGCCTCGTGTGAATTTCTTCTTGTGGAGATAAAGAAAACCAAACAAAATCTTCTCATCTCAACTTTTCTATTTGTTTGCTGTAACCTGGTAGACATTGAACATTGCTTTTAGCAGACATGAACGCTCGGCATTTGCAGACTTCAGAGGCAACTGTAATGGGAGTAAGTTAATGGCGATGCTGGACTGGACGTGCGTGGCCCTTGTCTGCTATTTAACGCTTTTTAATTTTTTTGTCCCTGTGGCCTCTGTCTATTATTAGGTCGATGTCAATGGAGGACCTATTCCATGCTCGAGTGGGCAGCACTGAAAACAGCTACAAGGCCTATGCCACATTGCCACTTATCTTACTTTTGGTTTTGTCCTGCCTTTTCCTTGAGAATTCCTTATTTATAAGGATGAACCAGTAGGGATTTGTGCATAAGATACTCTATTATTTGACATAATTGTTAAAGTGTTTTTTATGATTTGATATATATGAAATAAATATGTAATTAAAAATATAAAAAAATGGATTTCTGTTACAAATAAAATAAGAAAATGTTATTTACACTCTCATTTTTGTTATTCGTACTCTCACTATCATTTTAATTATACAAATTTCAATTATTAGACTATATAATAAAATAAACGGTGGGAGTACAAATAACATTTTTATGGCTCTATTTGGCACCCTAGTTTTTTTGGGTATTTTTATTACACAATTTTGTCTACAATAATATCTAAAAACACCAAAAAATTTTTGAAATATCCACCCTAAAACACTCAAAAACACACATCCATTCCTCTTTTTTTTTCCCCACCATTATCCCAACTCACCCTTCCACCCCTCTCTCTCTCCTCCTTCTTTTTCCTCCTCCACTCATCCTTCCCCCTTTCCCCATCACCTCTCTCTCCCCTTACCATTCCTTCTTCCCCTTCCCCCTACCGTGTGACAAGACTAGAGTTTGCATGGCAAGGCTCAGGAGAGGGCGTGGCAAGGAAAAAGGAGAAGGAGGAGGAAGGAAAAAAGGAGAGGATAAGAGGAGGAGTGGAAAGAGGGAGAGAGATGTAAAAAAGAAAAAAAAAAAAAGGAAACAGGGGAGAGGCAAAGAGGAGGAAGAGTAGTAATGATGTGGGAGAGGAAGAAGAAAAGGGGAAGAATGAGGGAAAAAAGAAAGAAAAAGAAAAGGAAAAATAATAAGAAAGTTCTTTAATTTCTCCAAATACTTAAATATACAAAAGCTTTTTTCACAAATTCTATATATAGTAAAATTTTATGCAAACATCCGCAAAATACACCATCTAAACGGATCCATTATTTGAAAAACTTTTATATGCAAACCCGCCCGCAGCCCTGAACAATCATCAACTATGGTCTCATTCCAAGCTCATCATAACATACATGCATGCACAGGCACAGAGCCATGTTTTCACAGGAGACCCCATGGAATTTTGGATATCTTAACCTCTGGGACATATCCGAGTCAGTTGATCACTACCGTGGCTACTTTGGCTTCTTGATTTTGATGCAGTATCTGTCGTTTGTTTATTTAATCTCCAACGCCCCCACATTTTGGAAGATTCTGTGGTGGCATGTTAAAAATGGGGGGCCGTCCAAATGAGTGGACACCACCTTTTCTGTTGATATTGTTGCTCGATCTACCATTCAATTCTCTAAATCATTCCACACGTTTTAAAGGAGCAGCTCTGCTAACAAGTAACTGAGTGGTTCCACCAGCCACCGTGAAGAAGGGAAACGGGTGAGCTGTTAATGACCATGATTTGGTCTCAACAAATTGTGCGGTTTAGATCACAAATTTGCATTGATTTTTACATCGTATGTGGAATTCATAAAATTTTGTATTAAAGTTACACGTTGTGCAAACAAAGTTACGTCGTATGCAATCAAAGTTACGCGCTGTTAAAAATGACCAAAACCGTTGGGACCGTCCATGAAGAACACTCTGACTCGATTGCCACGGAATTTTTCAGCAGCTGATATCATGATTATTCCTCCACCAACAAAATCCAAAGAAAGAAAAGGGAATGTAATCTTTGACGTTACCAAATCATCAGAATCATGACATCATTAAATATTTACAATTTATAGCCACATGCATGTCTGCAGCAAGATATATGGTACTCTTTTAACTACGTAGTTGTAAGTACTGCATTAAGGAATGGATTGGTATTACAATTTATGGCTAAAAAAAGTGAACGAATCTCGCCATTCAAACTATTCAGCAAGTACACGTTTATAGCTCAAGAGCAGCCGGGCATAGTTGTATATGAATAATTATTAAAAGATGGCGATTGGCGAACTATATGACAAGAATCAGCTGTAGAATAATCCTTCTTTTTTATTCTCGTGCTCCAACTGATACATATATATATATATATATATATATATATATATATATATATAGATGCACTCTAGCCTAGCAAAATCCCATTTCTAGCATTAGAATTCAATTCGACTTTGGAGAAATTTTGGATGAACAGGCTACAAAAAGATTCAAGATGCTGATGCACAGAGACAGTAGTATATGATAGGGACTAAGTCCACCAGGACACATTCCATGAATTGGTGAAGTAACAGTAAAAAAGAAAAAAGGAACCTTCAGCGCAAGCTCTTCCTGCTGGAAGATACTCTCCAAAATAGTAGGAGCAACCAACTAGAATCTACATGGTGGAAACTCGATGCAACAACAGCAGTGCCATAACATTATAATCCCTAGCAAACTGGCGAATGATTCTGAGAAAAGATGTTCCTTGCCCACTAAAGAGACGTCGAGTAAGATGTCTAGAGAAAAAGCTTATGGACAGGTGCAGAGAATAAAGATAAAATTCATCTACACGGCCTTGAAAGATGAATTAAAGAATCAGCCAGCTACTGGCACCGAATTATTTATTTGGGAAAGGAAATGCTCGACAGCAACTGCAATGAAAGGGCTGTAGGAGATGAGCTATAGCTTGAGACTTGAGTTGACCGGGGACAGCCGGCCCAGCTACCCCGCTAAGTTGCGGAATAAACGTAGAAACTTCTCACTGTACCGTCAGCAACTGCACTCAAAACTCACAACGTCACAAACCAAACACCACTACATATTCTACTGGATACACAATTTTGCTCCTGCTACACTCTTTAACTCAAAAGAATGATCTGATACTTCCAATGCGGAACTGGAAATAACTATCATCGACAATATTTTGCTCCTGCACAAAGATCCTCGACGTTGTGCACCAGGCTCCAACCAGCGGCAGCGGCAGTTCCCCAAATGACGCAAACTGCATGACTTACTGAAACGGAGCAAAACTCTGCAGACGCAAAATACAGTAGTACAACCAAGCGAAGAAACAGTCGGGGGAAAAAGAGACCATGCAAGCCAGACCAGCCGGCCTCCAGGTAATACATGCTGCCAAGCATGAGATGTCTTGATGACCTTGAGATGATGCTTGAGATGATGGTATATTCATTGACTAACCAGAACGGTTGAGGGAAAAGGAGATTCCCTCCCCCCCCCGGCGCAACACACACACACACACACATCTGCAATCGAATCGTGGATTTGGAGCAGGATATGTCATAAAAGGCAAACAGCAACCATCCGTCAAGTCACTAAACTAGGAAAAATTGTTTGTTAATTAAGTTTAATGCTTAGCCATTTATTCATGTGCTTTCCACTACTAGAGCTCCAAAAAAGAACTAATTACGCAGATTGCCTGCTAAACTTGGTCTTAAGAGTATCAATCCACTGGGTCCTCTCCTCAACACTTAAAAATATTTGATGGATGACTACAAAATCCCTGCTACTTATCATTCAAAGCAGATCCACTGCCAAACTTTCCATCTAAAAGCCACTGCAAAAGAGTCAACATCCGACTTAACATTTGAAAGAAAAAATAAAATAAAATAAAACCCAACAGGAGTTGATTGAGTCAGGCAAATACACCCTAAACAAAACAAAATATAAAAAATAAAAAATAAATAAAAAAATGTTACAGGACTCTAGAGCTGTTGAAACGCACTTCACGTGGAGTCTACTCAAGGTCAATGAACCAAACATCCAACTCAATGACTGCAAGAACAGGCCATGCCCACAGCAACAGATGATACACCTCGCCTAAGTTGTCTTTGATAAGTGTATACGAATGTAACCATAGAAGTTGCGCAAGCATGAAATTATCCTCACTTTAAACATGCCAGAAAGACATTAACTTCAACAAAAGCCACAACAGGAGGATTGTTAAGGGCATTTCCCTTGAAAACTACCTAGGCATCAAAAGTTTCAAACTGTCTGCCATCAGTATTTTGGTATGCAAATCATCCAAATGTCACCAACCTGCATCTTTAACCAGTGTATTGACTTGTTAATATAACCTCCTAATGCAGTGCACCCAACCTCTTATAAGGCCTAAAATTTTATTTCTTTTCAATATTTCCAGAAATCCTTCACCTTCGAAGTGCTAGTGACATTGCAACGTGTTTCAGTTTTAATGACCCTTCATGAGTCATGGCCAGACATTCGCCAGCAATCTACTGTAGTTGCAACAAATTTATAATTTGACTAACAAGAGAATATTCACATAGCATCCCCACAGCATATAACTTGATCCCAACATAAGAATTTCTCCTCAAAATTGAGAGGAGGAGGATCATAATGCCAATGAAATTACATAACCGAGCTTTGCTGAAAACAAGTTCTAAATAACTAGAAGCATCACAACAACAACAACAAATGTGACCATAACTACAAAAGGAGTTGCGAGAGTAAAATAGTATAAGCCTAAGTTTTCTGCTGTATTTGAGGATTCCCTCCATGATCCTATCACAGGTAACATTACACGGTCTGTATAAAAAGGAAACTCCAAGTAAGGATAGTTTCTTTGTTTTCCAACATTTTAAAACTAAAAGGACCTCAATCTCAACCACGAATTTCATTAATAGCCGAGCGCAGCATTTCGTCTCCCACAACTGATCTCAACTGTTCCATAAACATATCTTTCCCCACCTTCCCATCCTGTAACAGATTTCAGGACTAAAATCAGTCAAAAATAGGAAAAGAAATCTGGTGCATAACCAATATTTTGCTTGAACTAATATAATGTCTTGATCACACTATTTCATTGCAATACATACCTTGAGTGAGCCACACAAAGTTTGTAATTGAAGAACTTTGAGAGGAGGAAGAGATCTCCCAAGCTTGGCAAATAACTTTGCAACAAAGGGACTTGGCACAGGAGAATCCAACTTAACACATGGAGTACCAGTAACTTGACCTGAAAAGACACAAGCAGTTATTTTTTGCACGAACACACAAGTCATCCAGACTGAGAAGATATGGAAGAATATCTACCTTGCACATGATTGGCAGATTTATAGCTGACCACCAGCTCTGGAAGAATGTGTGTACTCATATTGGTAGGCCATACCACATACCACTTAGGATCTGTCAACTGATCCACACCAGTATCAAAATCCAAACTTGAAGGCAACTTCTGGTTAGAGCCAGCCTCAATTTTCTCACATTTGCCCAACAGGACTCGGCACAAAATTACATGCTTTTCGCCATTATCATCTATGTCTGACATCATGGCACTACAAGTGCACCCAAGCAACAATCAGAAGAAAAAAAAAGAAGATAGCAGATTAACATAAGAACAGCTAAACCTACTCTACATGGTCAGAATACACCTATAAAAAAAATCAAGTACCTGATATGCGGTAACTTAGCAGGAGATAAATATACACCAACTCCATGAGGTCGAGGAGTTTGGACCTGATCAGGCATTCCAAACCCATGAGCCAAAATACTATCTACACCCTCTGCTGACGTCCCATGCCATGCAAAAACCATGTTGGCATCTCCTCTAGCTTTCTTCATTATCTCCATCTGCTTCATAAAAACTTCATATCGCGCCTTGTCCAACACCCCCGTCCTTGTACACTGATGAATCCTAGTGATTGTAGCATCAGTCTCCACCGATCGCAACCCAGACAAAAACAAATTTTTAACAATGGTATACTCCTTCTCCCCTTCCTTCAACAGCTTAGTCTTCTCCCACCTCGCCTTATCCACTTCATTCGCAACAATTTGCCGCCTTTTAGCATCTAGATTCCTGACATTGGACGAAGTCCCCTCCGATTTTCCCCTCTCAATTTGCTCGACTTCAATTTCCTCACTGACTCTCTTTCTCTTGCCCGATAAACTGTCCAAATTATCAGAATCCTCCAAAATCTTTACCTCAATTTCAATTTTGGGACACTTATTCCCCAAAATTTCCTCATTTCGATCATAACTCACAAAAGCCTCACTAGAATTAACAAAAACTTTAGGGAAAAAACACTTCCCTTTCACATCAATCCAAGCAATTGACTTTTCATCGCCACTATCAAATTGAATTTCCAACATCCTATAAAAATCAAGCAAAAAATCACAACCTCGAATATTTACCTCAACCATTGGTTTACCTGCCAAGAAGCTTACCTTCACCAAATCCAAAACCTCCTTCGGATAATCCACCCACGACCCGTTCACGTCGTAGTACATGACCCGCATCGGTTCCGCACTCTTTCTGAAATTCTCGTGATTCTGAACTAGGAGCTGCGCTTGGCGGTCACAAAACGACGATCCGGAAGCAAATCTCCGCTGCGGAGGAGAAACCCTAATTCTCATTTTATTATTGTTTCTCATATTCACAATTTTTTCCGAGCAGAAATTCCCAATTCCCGACATCGCCGAATCGGAACTCATATAATTCATGTCCGAAGAAAATAAAAAACAAAAAAGAATTTTTCTGTGCCGCCCTTTTTGAGAAGTTCTGTCACAAAATGAGATGAACAAAAGAACTTCTGGAATGAAAGGGTTTCGCCGCCTCAATATATATATACGAGAACAGTAGACTATCACGGGTCAGTGAATTTACCGTTTAGACACTGGGTTTAGGTCGGTTGTAGAGAAATGAGTTTGATAAGGCAAGGGTTTTTATGGTATTTCATAGAAGGAGGTAGGAGAATTCTGATACTCTGACTAGGCATTAGAGAGGTAGAGTTGTGGCGTGGGGTTGGGACTAGGGAAGGTTTGACTTGTGGATTAAGAAAGAGAAAACGGTCCAATGTTGATGACGGCTGAAGTGGGCTAGAATGCATGTTTAATGAGGGTTGCTTCGGCCCAAGGAAATGGGTATTTTTACTTTGATAAGGACAGCATTTGCTTGCCGGGCAGGTAGAACAAGGAGTCTCTTCATTTCAAGGGATTTTAAAAAGTCAATCTTTTGACTTTTCCTTTATTCTATGTTGACAATTGGATCGACAAGTTGTATGGTACTTGCACTATGTAGGGTTTTATGGGATTGAAAGGCTATGCTTTTATGTTAAATTAATGGAAGAAGAAAGCATAAAGGGATTTATATGATTTGACGGTAATGGTGATGAGAAGAATCCAAGCGGGAGAGATAGGCAAAAGGGGAGAGCTATTTTGTAGTAGTGTGTTTTTGTGTGCTTTTTTGTATTCGTCTTTGCATGTTTGATTCTCGAGCAAGAAAGAAATATCGTATGGCTTTTTACATGGCGTAGTTGGGTAACCTAGGGCTAGGTTTTGTAATTAAATTGGGATTTGTTAATGTGAGCACGAAATTCCTTTCATGTACTTAGCGAAGTAATTCAATTAATTTCTATCTCTATTGGTCGTTCACGAATTCGGAATCTAGATTTGTGTCTTTCTTGGCCAAAAGAAAACACACTAATTAAACTTGAAGAAGGGTTTTGTCGCTAATATGAACTATTATTACCTTTGGATTTGTTACGGATCAAAATGTTTTTTTTTTTTTAAATAAGATTTGCATGTTTTATAGTGTGTTCAAAGGAGAACTTCCTCGAAAGTATAAACATCTAATGAGGAATTTGAGAAAAGTTCAACATTTTTCTATGAAGAAATTTTCAAAACACAAATAGTAATGTGTAATATTATGTAACACCCTAAATGATATTTAACTTGTTTCTTTTTTTTTGGTGAAGGATGAGCCTTGCATGGTACTATATAGGAACATATAAACTCAAAGTTCTACGTAACATCTTGATTATTAATAAAGTATAAAATATCACTTTTCTAGAAGCTTGCAGTCCTTTTATTTATGTAATATAACAAAAAATTAATTATGAATATGTAATCATAATTCAGAGTTTGATTTATGAGCAGTATAGTCATATTCACATGAAATTGAAATTGTTCTTTGAGAAACACACCTGCAGATACAGAAACTTTCCTCCTTTTTTTATTGTAATTTTTTAGAGTTTTTTTTTATAAAAATGTATCATATCCATTTGATATTTGTGAAATAAAAAGGTGATAGCAATTTGATATATACGAGATAAAAAGGTGATTAGAAAATATATTCACGAAAAAACGTAGATATATATTTTTTTAAAATGACTTTCCAAACAAGGTATTTATTGCCTATGCATCTTTGTGGTAGGTACAAACCTTAGAAAGGGCAGTTATGTTGGCAATACATCAAAGAATTTGGTGTTAAAAGGTTATACTTTAGTTCTTATTAGAATCATTTTCTAACATTTCAGTAACCTTTAATTTATTTTCTCTAGCTGTAGAAAAATATAATACTGAATGTTATCATCCCCAAAACAGTAGAAACAAGTCAACGACACACCTACTACGGAAAACTTACAGTTGGCTGGTCTCGAAACAAGTCCCTGGGATTTGAAATTTAAAGCAAAATGTGTGTACCTGCTTATTGAGTTCAATCATTTCACTAATTTTTATTTTGTGACTATGGACAAATTTTTGGCTTTTCTATTCAACAATTATATTTTTCTCTCTCTAAGCAATACGAAGATATATGTATATATGTATGTATATATAGCATGCATTCTCGTATTTGCATATGCATGGGAACAAATAATTTTTTTGTTCCTAAAACGGCAAAAATATATTCATGAAGCAACCTAAATAGGTTGCTCAATTCTATTATTCTTGAAGCAAATGAATACATGTATCTATGTTTAAACGAACTAATAAAAGAATTCTGGGTCATATGTATCATTTGTGAAAAACTTCCACCTCATTTAGAAAACTTTTGAGTGTCAAATTAAGACACTAATTAATTAAGTTAGTCAATGTGAAATGGCAGTTATTTATTGTTTGCTTATTAGAAAATACTACTACGTAATTTTCCTCTATTAATGGTTCTTATTTTCAAAAGCCCAGGACAAACTCTAGCGACTAAAAAATTAAAAGAGAAAAAAAACTCTATTCATAGAACTGCTTTTTTATTTTATTTTATTTTATTTTCGGTGTCAGAAACAGGTGATTTTTTTTTTTTTTTTTTTTGTCGACAAAGGGGTGTCCGGGTCAATCCTTACGGGGCTCGACTAATCCCCTGCGGCCCGGGCCCGACGCCCCAACCCGATCCAAGCATGATAAGTGCGCGGAGGAATCCAGCAGAGTAGAGACTCGATCTTGGAACCAAGAGGTCACCAGTGGGAGGTGCTATCGCTGGATCATTCACGCGAGGCACAGAAACAGGTGATTACTAGATAGGGAAAACAGGGAGGTATGCTCAAGCCCAGCCCAATTATTCAATGCAACTAGAAATTGGCAGTGTGTGAGAATACTCCTGTGAATTTGGTCTTTCCAAAAAATTTGACATGGTTAGTTGGACAAGGAGAAATTTGAAATGATTTTAGTTATTTGAAAGTCTGAATTACAAATGGAGTAAAATATATATTTTTAATTAAATTGCAAAGCCAATTTTTTCTCAATAATCATTTGGCCAGAAGCTTTTCAGCTCGTGTAATATATTTTTTTTATGTGATTAATATAAATGGACTCGGGGCAAGTTGGTCGAATTAATTACAAATAGGTGCAATTGTTGTATTTCATCCACAACGTGCTGCTGTACGTTGTTAATAGATGCAGTTGTATTTTATGCATTCAGTTGATATACACGAATAAAATTTGTGTGTACAATAGAGTCATATAAGAGTAATACACCTTATCATGTATAACTCCGACAATTGCACCAAAATTCCAACTGCACTTGACTCAAGTTCGATATATTTAGTCAATACTTTCAAAAAAAAAAAAAAGTAGCTGGAAAACATGGATAGACAATTTTCAATTTTATTTTCCAAATGCTCTAATTTCTTGCCAAAACAGATTCACGACCTTTTTCCTTCTTGGTTATAAAATAGACTCCTTCATGTACGCTCGTGTACATAGAAAATGAACGTCAGTTGTACGCTATACTGACCCAAATAAAGGGCTGTGACTGTGAGGGCCAAGATAACAAAATGAGCCCAAAGGGTAAAACTGGTAGCTTTGGTAGATTCCTGAACAGTGAACACAGTCGAACCGAATGAAACGGGTCGGTTTAATTCCTGTAAACAGTTGAACCCATATAAAACCCTTTGCCTTCAGGAGGGTTTCACAGTCGAAGTGTAATTCATGCAATTTTCCTGCAAAAGCTCCCCTTCCTGATAAGAAATCTTAACACACTCTGGCCAAAAGCTCAGTTGAAATCCAAATCAAAGCCGACCCAAGTTAGACCCGTAAGTCACCTTACCTTTCTTGATTATTGAAGCTTTAATCAGTATTTTAATTCTGCATTTTTTTCAATGAATATCCGTTTTTTTTTTTGGTTGGGTTCGGAATTAAAAGTACTTTTTTTTTTTTTGGGAAGGATGTCTGCTCAATTGACACCATCGAAGAGACCGAATGAAACAGAGGCAAACGGTAGAGGGAAATGGCGAAAATCTGGGAATTTTAGTTCACCAAATTCTTCAGTAAATGGGACTATGTTGCGGGTGCTTTGCCCTAGTAACAAAATTGGTAGTGTTATTGGAAAAGGGGGCAGCATTATATCCCAATTGCGCGAAGAAGCCGGTGCGAAAATTCGAGTTGAGGAGCCAGTTCCGGGATGGGATGAGAGAGTAATTGTTATTGCAAGCCCAGATAAAGGAAAGGAAAATGGAGGAGCTACTGCTGAAGAGCAGCAGCACCAGGGGAGCAAGGAGGAGGATAATGATGAAAATGGGGAGTCTGATAGAAAGGATGATGGTGGGGAGGAGAATAAGAATGATGATGAGAAGGAGGCTAGTCCTGTTGAAGAAGTTCGAGGAGGAGGAGGAGAAGAGGATAAGGAAACCGCTTCTGCGGTGCAGAAAGCGTTGTTTCTTGTTGTTGAAAGAATGTTTGAAGGGGATTCGGAGGAGAAGGACGGAGCAGGGGAGGATGAGGGCGATAAAGATACCTCTTTTGTTGTGAGGTTACTTGTTTTTTCCAGTCAGATTGGTGGTTTGTTAGGGAAAGCTGGTAGTGTAATTAAGCAGATGGCTTTGGAAAGTGGAGCCCAGATTCGGATTCTTCCCAGAGATAAACTGCCTCCTCCTGCATCTCCTTCTGATGAACTGGTTCAGGTAATTTACAGTTGCTTTTTTAACTGCTATCGCTTACTGCAGTCTCAACATTAACTTGATATGTGGGTTTAGTTTTAGTTATCTGAAAGTTCATTAGAATTGTTTATGACTACTGCTTTCCACTTTTTCCTACCTGTTTCTGCCTTGTTTTGAGTTGTCAAAAATAGTCATTCAAGAGTATTGGTTCTAGTGTTGTTGCATGGGTGATTGAAAAAGTGACCTTTTTCTCCCCTGTACCTTTGGTTGAAAGAAACGACAGTTCCTAGTTTCTTATTTGGTTCCTTAGCCTAGGATGTTGCTTGTCTTTCCTATAAATTTGGAAATAGTGGGAAGCAGAATTTTCATTGCTTTATAAGATAAATTACCTTCCATTTAGATTGGTTCTACCAAAGCAACAAGGGATGCTGCATTAATA